CTTGTCCACTCCACACTCCCCTCCAGCCCCACCACACCCGGCACTTTTCCCTGCAACCGCAGGAAGTGCTACACCTGCCCCCACACCTCCCCCCTCACCCCATCCCAGGCCCCAAGAAGGCCTTCCACATGAAACAGATGTTCACCTGCACATCCGCTAATGTGGTATACTGTATCCGCTGTTCCCATTGTGGCCTCCTCTACATCGGGGAAACCAAGCGGAGGCTTGGAGACCGCTTTGTAGAACACCTACGCTTGGTTCATGACAAACGACTGCACCTCCCAGTCGCGAACCATTTCAACTCCCCCTCCCATTCCTCAGACAACATGTCCATCCTGGGCCTCCTGCAGTGCCACAACGATGCCACTCGAGGCTGCAGGAACAGCAACTCATATTTCACTTGGGAACCCTGCAGCCCAACGGTCAAGCTTCAAAATCTCCCACCCCCAACCTCATCCCAAGATCAGCCCATCTTGTCGTGTACGTCTTTTCTCCCACCTATCCGCTCCTCCCAACTCACTGACTAAACCCACCCCCACCTCCTACCTACCAGCCTCAGCCCCGCCTCCGTGACCTGTCCGTCTTCCCTCAATTGACCAACCCCCATCCCAACTCCCTACCAACACTCACCTTTACTGGCTCCACCCCCACCTCCTTGACCTGTCTGTCTTCTCTCCACCTATCTGCTCCTTTATCCACCACCCTTCCTCCCCCCCCCCCCCCCCTGTTTATTCCAGAGTCCCCTTCCCCTCCCCCATTTCTGAAGAAGGATCCAGACCCGAAATGTCAGCTTTCCTGCTCCTCTGGCCTGGCCTGGCCTGTTGTGTTCATCCTTGTTATCTCAGATTCTCCAGCATCGGCAGTTCCTTCTATCGCCAAAGGGCTAAAATTGTTGATGGTATTTAACAAACTGCATTACCTTGGATGAGTCCTGCAGACAGCACAATTTTTAAAAAACTTGCTATCTCTACAATCCAACAGTTTCGTCTATCATATCCATTGTTTTCTGTACTGGTTGTTTTGTGATACTGTATGAGAGAGAGAAAGTTTCGTTCCAGGGCTGCTGGACTTCACCTCAGACCAGGATCGTGAACAGTGCCAGGAACAGCCCCAGACCAGCCATCAATCGAGGGGTTCCCGATGGTCAGAGGGACGTATGATTTTTTTCCCCCTTTTTATCTTCCACTTATTATTACAACTGTAACCATTGGTTATTTGCCATTATAAATATTATTCTTACTTAATAAACATTCATATTTATGCAAATTGCTGTTGTCCAGCCTCCTCTTAATTATATTTAACCAAACTGAAAAAAACACCGCTTGGATACAGCCTCTGATCCAAGACACTTTTTGGCGACCAGGACTAAGTTTCGGGAAAATATTTAAGAGAAGGGAAAGGCAACCCAAGGCTCTGGCGACCTTCCAAATTCCAGTATGGAATGCGGCAAACTCTGGAATCGGGGTCTGCGGCTAATTTGTTCGCACAATTAGGGCCCCTGCAAGAATGGCTGATGGTCACAATGGGAAAAAGAGAGAAAGGAGGGTTAGTCACACAGGCTGCCTACACAAGTGCTTGCAGGAGGCAGGCTTCCCCAGAAACAAGGACAGTGTACCACAAATAGGATGGATATTGTTAACAGGTTTGCATTCTACATGTGGGGATACTGGAAGAGTGCCAGGCCAGGAACAGGCAGTTTGAAGGCCCACATTGATGGCAGTAGAACAGTGTAACCTTATCGCAATGGAAGCAGTTTAAGACAGCGCAGGAAAGAGCCCGGAGGGCAGAGGAGAAACAGAACCAGATAGTGTGCCATCTGGCGACGGTACAACAGAAAACAGAGCAAAACAGCACAATGGGAAAGTTGAGCCAGTCAAAGTGCACACGTTATTAACCTCACAATAGGACCCCCACCATTGGGATGGAGACATTTGGTATTCATCTGATTCAGAGTATGAATGGACAGATGGGGAAGAGGATGCTCCACCTCCAGAGCTATCTTCAGAGAAGGGACTAACACCACAACCCCTAATAACAAATAAGGTAAAACAGGTAGGAGGACAGAACACACAATATTTGAGAATAATAAGATATTGCTTGGTGTCCAAATTGCAGGATTTGGGGCCATGTTTCAAGCAGAAGCCCCTTGGCCTCTTGGCTGATGTCGTCATGGACTAGGATGCCGCCCATTTTATGCTGAGTACCACAGTGCAGGGAATCTGGGAGCATTAAGTTTGATCCAGAAATTACCATGTTTGGAATTTCACTTACTGGCAAGAATGGACTTCCAAATACTGTTTTGGCACGAGTGAATCTTTAATTCTGGATGATAAGATGGACTCATTGATAATATCCAAGTGATTTTGAGATATTGGAATATCGAAAGTGCAACTCCCAGTGTGTGAGAAGTTTTGGAAAGGTAAATTTGACAAAGGGTAGACTTTTCCTTCATTCAAGGAGGAGGAGAGATGGATGACATAATTACATGCAGGAGTTTATGCCCCACCCCCTTCTCTTTGAATTCGTCATGGATTAATACTAATTAGCCCATTCTGCTTAATGTGGAATAAATAGAGCTTGTTTGACAACTCATTTGCATAATTTCAACATTACAATACAGTGATGGATTAGGCACCCCGAATCCATCAAGCCATTCATCAATAACACATATCAGTGTTGGGAAAGTACTGTGGAAATATTAATTGTAGTGATTGTCAGGAATCTGAAAGCCATTTGGGTACACTTAAGCACGTCATGAAAAAAACGATATTAAGATTCACATGCCTTGGTACTCTAAAACATTTAAAGGGATTCTGGAAAATGATAAAATGCATACACACGCAGTTCAATGGTTCAATATGTAAAAAAGTTGTTAGTAACTTTAAGGGAGCAAACAGAACATTGAACGTGAACAAATTTACATTGAGATATATCAAATATCTAGAATGAATTGTCAAGTAACTTTAAGAAAAAAGGTGGATCGTCTTACAGAAAGAACAAACTATGCTGGACCTGAATCAAACAGAAATGCTTGACTTCTATTTTAAAATATTATAAGGTTATGTTCCTTGGACTATCAAATCTCTACAGATCTCTGGAATCAGATATGATGGTAATAGTTAAATGGCAAAATTGGATGAGATGAAGTAATTCAGGGAGAGACTAATGGCAGAAGACAAAAAAAAATCAGATAATGGGTTGAAGCAGCAATTCAGGTTAAAATATTACAGTAGTGAAAAGAAAGTTTAGATGAGAGCACAAAATTGATAGCTTTCTCTTGATGATGTTTGAGTCCTTGTCTTTTTTATTAAGAAAGATTGAATTGGTGATCAAGCCACTACACGAGGCATCAGGACCATATGTGGAAAGACAAGTAAAACCTCAAAGACCATTTGATAAGATCATGTCAAGAATGCATGACATGGTCTTGGAATACCGATGTAAGTGTGCAAAAGTGAATGTTACTTTGGAGGTAACAAACAAGACAATACAGAAAACATGCACTGAAGAACGGGTCTCGGACATGTACACCTACTTGACAAAAGGATTAGTGTGGCTTGGAAGAGCACAAAAACAAGTTTATATGATAAGACACTGACACCAAATCCACAGAGAAACTGACTTTAAAACAATGTAAATAGTATTAGTGAAAGGGATGTAAAATGATATACAATCAAAATAAGAAGGGTGATTGGCTATTATGTCAACATGTTACAGAAATGAAAGAGTAAGGATTCTGGGAGAAATAGTGATGGACTGAGTGAAAGGGCCCTTCAGATGACACAGAGATACCTCATCTTGAGCATTGGTATGACTAAACCAAGAGGTGAAATTTTAATGTGTTAGGGCAGTTAGTGTTTGTGATAAAGGGCTGAGCTAAGACTTGGGTGGTGAAGAATTCTGTGGACAGAAATTGAGAAAAAAAAACACAAATTAAGGAACCTGGATCTGCAATATACAGAATTTTAGAGCAAATTATGTAAATAGATTAACTGAAAAAAATGTAGACGATATTCTGGTACCTCAATCAGGTGGCACATCTTGTTGGTATACTACGGCTTTGACTGTACATCGGGGTGGTGTGCGTGTGTACAATATATGCAAGGGTTGGTCCCCAAAAGACACTGTGATCATGAATTTTATGATACGTCCTATTGTTGTATTCTTCGTTTTGATGCTAGTTATTTTCATTGTGGTTTTACTCTTCTAGTGTAGGTTACATACTCTCATTAGATGTTCTTGCGCGGCAATCGCTGATTTGCATCTGCATTTGCAATTGTAATATACACTGTCAGATATCATCAGGGGTGGATTGTATCAGATGGGCCAAAGGGCTAAAAGTTAATGATGATATTCAACAGCTGCATGGGAAGATAGACTGTATAGGATGGGCTGAAGGGCTAAAAGTGTTGATGATACTCGACAAGCTGCATGACCTTGGATGAGTCCTGTGATCATACAGGCCACAGACAGCACAATTAAAAAAACTTGTTTTCTGTATGAGCCAGCAGTTTCTTCTAATGTATCTGTTGTTTCCTCCCACAATCCAAAGACGTACTGGTTAGGTGGATCGGCCATGGTAAAAGAAAATTGCCCCATGTTGTGCAGGCGAGGTGGGCTAGCTATGGTCAATATGGGGTTACAGGGATAGAGTAGAGGTCTGGGTGGGATGCTTCAGAGGGTTGGTGCGGACTCGATGGTCTGAATGGCCTCTTTCATCACTGAAGATATTCTGCAAAAAGTTCATTGTATATTTTGGCACTGGAGTTCCTCCAGCAATTTCTGTTTTCCAACTGTGATGATGTTCAGCAATTGGCACAAGATTAGTTTTTTTTTGGGGTGGTGGGCAATGGAGGCAGTGCGATCATGTGTTAGCTTACTGCTCCTTCCAGATCACAAGCAGTACTAGAAAAATACTTTGTGCTGGACTTCGTTGTTCTGTCTTACAGTTAGTTCTTGAGATTTCATTACCCAGGGAGCCCCAGAGAGACAGTGATAAATTTGATTTGATTTGATTTATTACTGTGTGACAATCTGAGGTACACTGAAAAGTGTTGTCTTATGTGCTTCACAAGCAGATTATACTACACAAGTGCAGGCTACAGCTGCTAAGGAAGTGCAGAGAGAGATCAACATTAGAGCAGGATATTGTCACAAAAAGATTAATATCAATCCCTCAATGTCTATCATGCCAGGTTTGAGATCTATGGTTTACCATGACACAGTTTAAGAGGAGCAATATTTCTAACTTCATGGTAGGATCCAGCACAGAAAAAAGCAAAGAGTTTCTCGGTGAATGTGTCAGAGTATGTGTAGAGAACGGACATATCATCAGCATTGTAAAAGGTCACCAGTCCTCCTTCATAGTCCAGGTAAACTCCAATGGTTCCAGGCTTCACATTCAGAGTCAGGGGAATTACTGAGTGCTGTCTGGCTCTGTATCCATTCCCATTTGTCAACCCCACAACCCAGTACCCATCTTTAGGTTGCAGGTTTATCTTTCCCTTCCTATTTGCTGACTCTCTGGTCACACCAATGTCCCACTCAGTCTTGTTGCTAACATCCACCTCCCAGTAGTGCTTCCCTGATGTGAATCCCTGTGACCCCAGGACATATGGATATTGATCAAATCTCTCTGAGTTATCAGGCAGCTGCAGGTTTTTTCTAGGACTGATTGTCACACTGGTCAAATCCTTAGACAGGATGAGGCTACGGTGAGCTGTGCCTGGATTCATGGTCAGTGAAACTGGAACTGAAAGAAAATAGAAATCATGTCAAATATTTTATAGAGAGGAAGGCAGACAGACACGAGTTAATATTTCTTGCCTTCATGCCTGGACTCAGCACCCAGCTCAGAATTTTTGCATTAGAAATATTGCAGAGTGAATTAGATATGCAGGTATATATAATTCCCGGACTCCAGTCTGTTCTGAGCAGTGGACAGATACAATAGCAACTAGCATAGAGACTGCTGGAGAAATGCAGCCAGCCTCACAACTTCTGTGCAAAGAGAAGCAACATTAACATTTTGAATCTGGCTCCTCTTCTTTTGGTTACTATTATAGGCTGGGTACAATGTGCAGTTCAAGTTATTACAGAATCATTAGTGTGGAAATTTGATCCATTGAGTCTGCACTGATCCACAGAAGAGCATCCCAATCCGACTCAGCCTCCCACCCTAGTCCCATAACCCCGCATTTACCTTGAATAACCCACCTAGCCTGGACACTATGGGAAATTTAGCATGGCCCATCCACCCAATCCAACCTGCACACCTTTGGACTGTGGGAAGAAACTAGAGCACTCAGCAGAGAACAACATAGACACAGGGACAATGTGCAAAATCCACACAGTCACCCGAGAGTGGAATCGAACCCAGGTCCCTGGCACTGTGAGGAGGCAGTGCTAACCACTGAGCCACCGTACCATTATTCTCAGACTTCAAATTGCAAATCGATCAGCAAATACAGGATCCCAATCTTGAATCCTAGCTGACTGTTTGAATATCAAATAAAATGTTCTGATGCTGTCGTGTTTGAATCACTCAATCAGTGGTTCCACTTGAAGAAGAAATCCCTAAGAAGAAATCCAAGAAGCTACCCCAGCAAACTGTACCCACTACAGGCAACACTTTCAGGAGAAGGAGGGGATGGAAGAGAGCAAAAAACTCCACAGAGAGTGGATACGAAGTTGTGAATTTCTTACATGGAGAGATGATCTGCCTCAATTCCTTCCACACTGAGTAAAGTAATGGGCCGTGATATCTTCTGTAATTCCTTCTTGGAAATATCAGTATTTCATTATCTTCATTGCTCCATGAAATGTCCTCTTCATCCTCTTCCTTCTCTTTGTGCAAGTATCTGTTTAAATAGAATTGATTTTGTCGCACAACAACCAATTGATCACAGTGTAAAAATGTGTATACACATAAATACTACTCACCTTTATCTTAATCTTTTCAGTTCCTGCAGGACAATGAAATATCAGAAATGGTTTAATCAGTACACAATGCTGTCTTGATTTTACATTTTAACACATTCAATAATCAGTGGTTTTAGTAAAACGTGAAACTGTGCTCGTAGCATTTTCACTAGTGATGTGATAGCAGACCAGTTACTGCTCCCTATCTCCACCCCTTACGCCTCAAATGCACCTGTCAAGATTTCATGGTCTTTGCTCCACTGCTCATTCACTCATTTTCATTTTGATCTCAATTTTCTCTATTTTTGGTCTTCACTTTCTGAGAACTTCAGAGCAGCCCTAAGCTGGGACAAATCATTCCACATTCTCAGCCTCAGCATCCCCCTGACACAGAGATTGTGTCTGTGAATCTTGTGTTCCAAATCCTATTCACCCAGGCAATTATGGGATAGGACGTACTTGTATACACATCAGAATTAGGTTCACCCACTGTGATTCCCGCACAGTTAAATAATCTCCTATTGCTCCATCTTTGAATGGGCATCACCTATCAGGTTCAAACATGTCACTATTCCCAGGACAAACAAGAAGTGGGAAGGAGAAACTAAGGGACGGATAGCAAAGCCCTCAATGGGGCAACCTCAGTACTAGAGCCTGTGGGAGATATTTAGACGGTGAGGATGTTATTGGGGGAAGGAAGCCATTCCTCCATCTAGTCAGACTAACAAGCATTCCCCATCTTGCATCATTTGGTCAGTTTCTCTCCTAATTCTATCCATTAGCTCATTCCATTTGTTCATGACTGTTGAATTAGATAATATTCTTGATGTCAGTCCCATATCGAGATTGCCTTCTCTAACAATTAAATTTTAATATTGGGTTGCATTCTCTGTCCTGTTCAACATCATGTCTCAATAAAACCTCTCTTCTCCCTCTGAGACATACACACACAGTGGAGTTTATGTTGACTTTGTGTAATTATGTAACGCAGATGGTATTGGTTCACTCAACCCCATAAATACTATCCCATTCTTGTTGATTTTGAGTTCAATGTAGAATCACAGAATCTCTACAGTGTGGAAGTAGGCCTTTCAGCCCATCAAGTCTGCACTGACCCTCTGAAGAGGGTCCCACCCAGACCCACTCCCCTACCCCATGCATGTAACCCTATATTTCTCATACCTAATTCACCTAGCTTGCACATCCCTGGACACTATGTGCAATTTAGCATGGCCAATCCCCCTAACCTGCACATATTTCGACTGTGGGAGAACACCAGAGCACCCGGAGGAAACACAGACAGACATGAGGAGAATATGCAAACTCCGCACAGACAATCAACTGAGGCTGGAATCAAACCAGGGTTGATGGCACTGTGAGATATCAGTGCTAACCACTGAGCCACCGTGCTGCCCTATTGCAGTGGGTGTATGCAGCGAGACTGAGCTGATGTCTGACCAGTTACACTATCAGCCAAAATCAATACTCTCTTCTTTCCGCAGTGAAATGTATAGGTCTGTCCAGTCTTTCCTAAAGGTTAAGACCCTAACACCATGGATTCACCCCTCTGTTTTTCACTTCATTACCTTACTTCTCAGTGACGACAGCCCAATGCATAAATGGCCCCAGTCTTCAGGTCTGGGTCGAAATCCCTATTTCCGATTAAGATTACCTACTTAACTTCCCAGGAATTTCAGGTCCAGACTTCCAATCTGAGACCCTTCCTAACAGATACAGTCTGGAAATCTGTGCAAGCACATCGGGGTGACGAGCTGTAATTGCAGAGTGTGGGACCTCCTAGATGCCAGTGTGATCCAGGCCAAGCACATCTGCAGCAAATGCCTGAGAAGCTTTGGCTCAGAGTTTATGAGCAAGAGGGTGAGCTTCAGACACTTCAAAACCTCAGGGAGTGGGGAGGTTACCACTGGAGGTGCAAGTAGTTTATCCTCGAACTCCACAATAATAATCGGTCCATCTAACTACTCCACAATAGAAGCCAATTGTAGCTGCTGATTATTTATCTTTACTTTTGGAAACAGAACCTACTAGCAAGTCACTAGCCTACAGCAATAATGGAATGAGTTTACTTTCATCTTTTAAGTATTTTTTATTCTCGTTATCCACTTTTAATCATTGCATCTGCATGTTAGAGTTATAGAGTCATAGAGCTGTACAGCATGAAAACAGCATGAAAACAGACCCTTCAGTCCAACTCATTCATGCTGACCAGATTTTCTGAATTAATCTAGTCCCATTTTCCCGTAGTTGGCACATATCCCTCTAAACCATTCCTATACATATACTCATTCAGATGCCTTTTAAATGTTGTAATTGTATAGCTTCCACCACTTCCTCTGGCATACGCACACCACCTTCTGCATGAATAAGATTCTTTAGGTCCCTTATTATTCTTTCCCCTTCACCTTAAACCTACACCCTCTAGTTTTGGAATCCCCTACTCCAGGGAAAAGACCTTGGCTGTTCACCCAATCCATGCCACTCATGATTTGATGAGACTGTACAAGGTCACGTCTCAGCCTCCAACGCTCCAGGGAAATTAGCCCCAGCCTATTCAGCCCCTCCCTATAGCTCAAACCCTCCAACCCTGGTAACATCCTTGTATATCTTTTCTGAACACTTTCAAGTTTCACAACATCCTTCTTATAGCAGAGACACCAGAATTATTATCACTGAAAAACTTTGTCACAATTTACTGAGTAACTTTCAGAAACAGTCGTGTAACAAATTAACATTTGATCGTGCTGAAAGCTAAAGCGTTGTTTCTGATTAGTTGTGTTTGTACTCAAAATTAAAACTAAACAAGTGCTCAACAACCTCCATAAATTCAGAATTCAAAGACCAAACTGTGGATTTGTCTGCTGTGGTCTTAATTGCTGTAATGCAGTTTGCATCCTAAGTATAAAGTATTGTTTACAATTACACCAACAGTTCCAACACGGTGTTATAAAAAGTCACCTTGAGAAAAGAGATGCTGTCTTGCTGCTCAACATGTGTACCAAGCTTCACTATATTCCCCTCAAGGGATGTTACCTCTTCCTCAATTCTTTTCAGATTCTCTTCTATTGGTTGCAGATCTTCCTCCTTCAGTCTCCTCAGTTCTTCAATTAAGCCCTCTTTGTCTTCAAGATATCGATGGATTTTGGCAAATTGTGCAGAGATGTCTTGCTCCAGGGATGATATGAATTCCTAAGGTAGTGAAAAAGATTGTTTAAACAGTGGGTTGCTAAAGGGTAACAGTAATTATAGGAAGCAAAAGTAATACTCATATTCAATTCGGAAATCTCCCTCTCCTGCTGCTGCTTTAATTCTCTTTCGATTTTTTCTCTAGCCTTCATGGAATTTAAGATTGATTTCAATGGGTCCTAAAAATGAATTAAACCATACAATGATCCATTGCAATATTTACTGTAATATATTGTATCAGAAACTGTGAGGACATTATCAGGGAATGTGTCATGTGGCACTAGTGTTGTGTAAAAGGCAGAACAAGAAGAATTTGACCAGACCAGACAAGGCTTGAAACTAACAATAGCTTTATGGTATATAAAGTTATATGAATGAATTTGATAGGGTAGACAGTGTTAATTGTATGTCTGTGTTGGATATTAGGTACAGTCTAAATATGTGGCAGTTGTGTGGAGTCGTAATACATAATGCTGTAAATAAGATTCAAACTGAGCAAGGACTCTCTCTAGTTTAATCCTTCACAAATTGTATTGTTTTACTGGATTGTGCTACAGTACCTTGTATTCCTCACTCTGTATAACTTTGTATTCCTTACTGTGTCTAAGCACCCTATGATCTGTATGTCCTTGTTTGCTATGATCTGCCTGTACTACTCGCAAACAAAGCTTTTCATTGTACTTAGGTATATGCAACTACAATAAATCAAATCAAATCAAACCACGTCAGTACTTAAGGGTGAGCTAGATACAAAAGCTGGATATTAAGATGAAAATTACACTCCAATGTTGCTGTATTCTGAACCATATGTCCAATGGAAGAATGAAATGGATAAGGGGACCAATGAGAAAACAAGGTATGGCCTTATGGCATTATGTTTTCTTACCAGAAAGAAAAGAAAGTATTTTGTGAGCTAGAAAAATGGATGTGGTTGAAGGCTTGGACCTTCTTTTTGGAGTCTTGGATGGCATTTACAAAAAAAGATCATTTGTTGAATATTTACGATATATAGCCAGACTCTGGTAGAGTTTGGAAGACTGCTAACCATCCCAAGGTGGACAATATCATGGATTTTAAGGTATTGCAACAAAGTTGACAGGGTTCAATTGGATATCCCCAGATCATTACAAGATTTTAAATGATTGGATTGTGATGAATCAACTTATGGGTAGGCTTCTGGTTCTAACTGGTGCTTGGTTCTCAGAGAGAGGTGTACTAGGAGTGCAGAAAGCTCAAAGCAATTAGAAAATAATGGCATGTGGACCTTTACTGCAAGGGGATTGCAGTATCATGTCCAAGAATAAAGAATATTTGCTATAATTGTCCAAGGCCTTGTACACTACAGATTGAATATTCTATGCAGTTTTTTGTTCTCCAAATCAAATGAAACATATTTTATGGAGACATATATCAAAGATTCTCCAAATCAGGCTCTGGAATAAAATGGGTAATCTTTGAAATCCTGAGTAAATTGCATGTATATTTGGAATATCATTTTGAAAGGGGGAACAAAATAACAGTGTACAATTTAAATGGAGAAAAACTACACCATGCTGCAACACAAAAGGACTCGTGGGTATTTGTGTACAAATTAATCGCTTGCTTCATTGATGATTAGTTCTGACGTAAGTAGTCGTTTTCGCAAATGTATTGACTGCTTAAAATCAGGTGTTTCCGTATTTTCATCTTCTGTACGTTTCTCAAACCACAAGTTCCTTTACTGTTTCCTGTACTGCTCTGAAACAGTTGACAGGATTTTGCAAAATCAATACAGCCTACATCAATACACTGGACAGGAAGCAACAGGAACAGACAGAGTGTCAGAGTGTACAAACAACAGAAGAAGCAGCAAATGATAGTATAAGGTAGCGGTGGAGGTTAGATAGACCTTAGGTTTCGGATAAAAGTTTGGCACAACATCGTGGGCCGAAGGGCCTGTACTGTGCTGTACTGTTCTATGTTCTATGTTCTAAAACACAAAAAGCTAACATACAGGTGCAGCAAGTAATCAGGAAGTCTAATCAAATATTGGCCCTTATTTTGAGAAGGTTGAAATGTAATGGTAGAGAAGTCTTATTGCACGTGTACAAGGTGCTGGTATTGTGAGCAGTTTTGGTTCCCTTATTTTTGGAAAGATACTATTTCATAGCAGGCAGTTTGGAGGAGTTTCACTTGGATGATCCCCCGGTATGGAGGGATTTTCGAATGAGCAAAGGCTAAACAGGTTGGGAATCAACTTAACTGGAGTTTAGAAGAATGAACGGTGATCTCATTGAAAAGTATAGGATTCCTAAAGGGCTTGACAGGGTAAATGCTGAGACAATGTTTCCCTTCCTGGGAGAGTTTAGCACCAGAAGGGAATAGTCTCAGAATTAAGGGGTGCCAATTTAAGTCTGAGATAAAGAGGAATTTCTTTGGAACTCCTTGCCACAGAGAACTGTGGGTCAGAGTCCTTGTGTATATTTAAGGCTGAGATAGATAATTGATCAGTAGAGCAATTATGTATGATAAAGGGCAAGAGTAAGGAGTATCAGATCAGCTGTGATTTTATTGCGTGGTGGAGCAGGGTCGAGGGGCTGAATGGCCTACTTCTGTTCCTATTTCTTATAGTCTTATGGTCAAATACAGTTGGTTCCCCAATCGACAGCAATAAATGCAGCCTGTACTGAAACAAACTCCAACTTGAAGTTGTATTAAGATTATGTTAATTTAAAACTAGGCTGTGACACATTAGTTTCCAATAGTGTGACACAGTAAACAAGTTATCTCAGAGTTCTCACCGTCAAACATCAGTATCAGATTAAAAAACAGCAAGGCTGAAATAAATTCATTCATTTATTTCAAACGGTTCCAGATATTTTCGCATCAACCTGTTCAGTGATGTTATTACACACGTGAACCTGCGCTTCCGGTCGCAGAGGTAGGGTCACTGCCATTGTGCCGTAAGACCCTCTGTCAAACAGCAATAATTAGGAATCTAGGAACAGGATTAGGCCATTCAGCTTCTCAAGCCTGTCCCACCATTCAATGAAATCATATCTGATCTGTGGCCTAACTCCACATATATGCCTTTGGCCCATATCCCATAGAAGCTTTGCTTAATTTAAAAAATTCTCTATCTCAGAATTAAAATTAATAACTGCCATTTGTAACACACTTTACAGGGCAGTGTAGGTAGAGTCCATTTGGCCCATTGAGTCTACACGAACCCTCCAAAGAGCATCTCACCCTATCCGCATATATACACCATGGCTAATCCACCTAACCCGCAGATCCCTGAACACTATGGGCAATTCAGCGTGGCCGGTCCACTTAACCTAGACATCTTTGGAAGGAGGGAGGAAACCCACACATACACGGGGAGAACGTGCAAACTCCACACAACCAGTCCCCAGGGTTAGAATCGACCTGGGCCCCTGGCGCTGTGAGGCAGCGGTGCTAACCACTGAGCCACCGGGAAGAGAGTTCCAAACAATGACCACCCTTTGTGTGTAGAAGTGCTTTCTAACATCTCTCCTGAATGGTCTGTCCCTAAGTCGCAGAGTATGCTCCCTAGTTCGAGAATCCCAACTAGTGAAAGTCGTTCGTCTTTGCCCACACTGTCCAATAAACAGTGAGATGGGTTAATTCACTCTCTCCCTTACCTTATACTTTCGAACAGACTTCTCCAAGGGCAGGAACCTGTGATCGGAATGTGGGGGAGAATCCACACAATTGACACAGACCAGAATCTCATCGTCCTCACAGAACAGCACCAGCTTCTGCCCGTGTTCCTGACAGAGGGATTGGTCCCTCTCCCTGTCCTGGTTCAGCTTCTCCCCTTGTTCCTCACGGCCAGGCAGCTCCGCGTCCAGCTTCAGCTTCGATTCGAGCTGTCGAGCTGACTCGCAGAGATTGGACAGGGTCCTGTTACTGGTGTAACCTCTCCTGTAGAGAACCACGCGGCATTGTGGACAGGACACCACCCGACGATGTTTCCCCCAAATCTTCAGGATGCAGGATTTACAAAAGTTGTGACAACAGTCCAGCTTCACGGGCTCCACAAATAGAGACAGGCAGAGGGAGCAGGTTAAATCCTTGCTCGGTGGTAAGATCGGTTTACGAGCGGCCATCTCACAGGCAGTTCTGCAGTTCTGTCTCTGCGCCACATTCAGTTTCGTTTCTTTCAGCTTGTTTTGGACCACGCATCGCGATCTGGCTTTTCTCAGTGGTTAGGTTTTAATTCTCCAGAGGGAAGAAAGGTGTGTCTGGTCGCTAGACAGGCATGAAGAAAGAATGGAATTTCCCCCATCGGATGTTTAAAACTAGGAGCGAGTTTGTCTTAAGGTGTTTATATCTGCAAATGGCATGAATCAATTCTACTCACAGGATTCCACTCATTATCTCAGCCCAGGGCTCGCCCTTTCCATCCACTTCCTTTTTCCCCCCACTTTTCTCATTCTTCTCTTTTTAATTTTTCAAAAACTTGCTTTCTAATTTATCTTGCGGACAGAGTGGCGATGATGATATTGGAGCCAGTCACGGATGGGGATCAGCGTGGAGCAATTGCAGGCTATCGAGGGACTGTAATGTTATTTCCCTTAACTTACACAAAGAACTGTAATGTAGAACTTCTAGCTTTCTTTCTTTATTTCTCTCTTTTTGTAGCTAAGATTTGTCTTTTTTTCAATTTCAAAAATATATTTTATTCATAAATAAATGTACAGCCACAAATGCAGTTTGGTTATGTACAGTAGCATGTCAAGGAAACAAAAATTGTAGATTGACTCTGTCCAAACTAACCAGAGGATAAGGTGGGAGGAGGGAATGAGGAGCAAACAATAGGTAGGGATAGAGCCCAAAGACAGAGAAGAACAGTTGGACAGACAAAGGAGTCAATAACAATCCGGCTGGGAGGGTGAATAGCTATTACTGGAAACTCTGCCACTTCTGCCACCTGCAATCTGACCCCACTATCAAGGACATTATTCCCTCCCCACCCTTATCTGCCTTCCGGAGGGACAGCTCGCTCCGTGACTCCCTTGTCTGCTCCACACTCCCCACCAACCCCACCACACCCGGCACTTTTCCCTGCAACTGCAGGAAGTGCTACACCTGCCCCGACACCTCCCCACTCACCTCCACCCAAGACCCCAAGAAAACCTTCCACATTAACCAGATGTTCACCTGCACATCCGCTAATGTGGTCTACTATATCCGCTGTTCCCGATGTGGCCTCCTCTACATCGGGGAAACCAAGCGGAGGCTTGGAGACTGCTTTGCAGAACACCTACGCTTGGTTCGTGACAAACGACTGCACCTCCCAATCGCGAAACACTTCAACTTCCCCTCCCATTCCTCAGATGACATGTCCATCCTGGGCCTCCTCCAGTGCCACAACGATGCCACCTGAAGGTTGCAGGAACAGCACCTCATATTTTGCTTGGGAACCCTGCAGCCCAATGGTATCAATGTGGACTTCACAAGCTTCAAAATCTCCCAACCCCCAATCTCATCCCAAAACCAGCCCAGCTCGTCCCCGCCTCCCTGACCTGTCTGTCCTTCCTCCCTCCTATCCCCTCCTCCCACCTCAACCCCCACCCCCACCTCCTACTTACCAGCCTCGTACCCGCCTCCTTGACCTGACCGTCTTCCCCTGACTGACCAACCCCCATCCTAACTCCCCACCTACACTCATTCTGGCTCCATCCCCGCCTCCCTGGCCTCCGTCTTTTCTCCCACCTATCCGCTCCTCCCACCTCAACTCCCACCTCCTACCTACAGGCCTCAGCCCCGCCTCCTTGACCTGTCCGTCTTCCCTTGACTGACAAACCCCCTCCCTAACTCCCCACGTCCACTCACCTTTACTGGCTCCAACCCTGCCTCCTTGACCTGTCCGTCTCCTCTCCACCTATCTGCTCCTTTATCCACCTTTCATCCGCCTCCCCCTCTCTATTTATTTCAGAATCCCCTTCCAATTTGCAAACTCTCTGACCACGCCCACATTCCACTCAGTCTTGTCCCCAACTTCCACTTCCCAGTAATGTTTCCCCGAGGTAAATCCCTGTGACCCCAGTGCACACAACGCCACGTCAAATCTCTCCGGATTGTCAGGAAGTTGTAATGCTGTGTCACTGTGTCTCATGCCTCAGGGAAGATGAGGGTACAATGCACTGCCTTTGGCTCCAGGGTCAGTGAGGCTGGGGCTGCAAGAAAATTAAAAACGCAAAATATTTTATCAGAATATAATATCAGATGTCTGTAAAAGTGGGCACACAGAAACAGAAAATAGCAGCAGGAATAGGCCATTCAGCCCATCAAGTCTGCTCCACTATTCATTATGATCATAACTGATCATCCAACTCAATAACCTGTTCATGCTTTTGCCAACATCCTTCAACCCCAAAAGCTTAATCCAACTCCTTCTTGAAATCATACAATGTATTGGCCTCAGCTACTTTCTGCGGTAGCAATTTCCACAGGCTCACCAAAATAAAAAGAAGAAATGCAGATGCTAGGAAATCAGAAACAAAAACAGAAATTGCTGGAGAAACTCAGCAGGCCGGCAGCACTTGTGAAGAAAAAGCAGAGTCAACATTTTGAATCTGGTGACCCTTCTTTAGAACATGGACTCACCGCTCTCTGAATGAAGAAATTTCTCCTTGTATCAGGTCATAATTTGTCTACCCTGTATCCTTAGACTGTGACTTCTGGTTCTGGACTCCCCCCTCAGCAGGATCAGCCTTACTGTATTTATCCTGTTTAGCCCTGTTAGGATTTTATAGGTTTCTATAAGATGTCTACTATTTCTTCTGAACTCCGGCTATTCAACCTGATATATCATAATTCATGTCCATCAATAATTATTCATGATTATATCACTGCTCATGATGGCATATAATGCTAACTACAAACTTATGTGTGCTAAACACCCAATTCAAATTGACTCAGAAGCGCATTACCTCAGGTTACAACCCACTTAAAGGTGCAGTTATGTTTCACACAAAAGTGCAGTCATGCATAACACGCTATGTACACTGCTCCATTTAACAAGGCCAACATTCCACTCAAAGCTGCAGTCATGCGTTACAGCTAACAAAACTGCATAAATACCACAGGATAAAACATTTTTACACTTTCACACCAAAAGTAGTGTTTTTCATATTAAAGCCTAATCTTGAATAGATGTGATCCCCAACCCCTTACTCTAAACCCCTCTCTAGCCAACATGGCTCCAAGAATCATTCAAAGATGATAATTGGATTAGCCCTCTTCTTTACAATTAAAATGCTACTTCCTCGCAGGCTTTCTTGTACTAGACTATGCATATTATTATCTGTAGGTGGCAGAATTTACCTTGCTCCAAGTTTTTATTCAATACCATGTATATAAGCAACCTTTAACCTACTAATAAAATGAAAAGCGCTCTGTCCAGAACTGCATGACTTTGAATGAATGAGGGTATGACTGAAACTGACAGCGCT